TGGAGACGCTCGCTGGGAGGCTGGCACCGAGCCTCGTCCTGGGCCGCGGCTCCCCCAGCATGAGGACTCGGGGCGTTGTTTCTCTTGTTGCTTTTTTTAATCCTCTTAAACTCTAGCAAGATTGGCTGCTAATTGCATTTCCTCCTCTTGCCTTTATTTATTAACAGAACAGCTTTCGCTTCGCATGGCACGCATGTAAATCATTTCAGCCTGGGTGGGAAGCTCACACCTCGCTGGAAGGAACGGGAATTTCTAGGCTGCCTGTGAAAGTGCATCCCGGGCCTCTCCCGGAGTCGGGATTAGCCTGGCGCCAGTACAGCTGTTTGCAGACACCTCCTCTGTCTTCACACCAGAACGCAATTTTTGATGTGCTTCTAAGTACAGCAGCTTTTCTTTTTTTAGGGCATTGTTTTAAAACGTGGCCATAATTCAAAGCGCAGGAGAAAGGATTTTATCCCCCAGACCTTGTTAGCAGCGCGCTCCTTGAGGCAGACAACCGCGGCGGGCGATCCCAGCTCCGCGGGGACTGCTCTGGCAGGTTACAAGCACAGCAACCAGCTGGGTAGCGTGGACAGCAGCGCCCAACAAAGCAAACGCTCCCAGACCTACCTCTTTGACTCGGATTCCGTTTCGACGATTGCAAAATAAATCCCATTAACAACGATGGCAATATACAAACATGTTTGTTTTCCCTGTCTGCTTTTCCACCATTCTTGTCTAATTTAATTCTCAGGGATTCTGCTTTCTCAGCAGACTACCTGTTTTAATGTATTTCATTTCTTGTAATTGACTGTGAGCACAGCTGGTTTAATGATTTCCTCATGCCATATGGATTGTGCGTTCTCATTCAATCATCTGTTTTGGGCAGGGGGGAAGGGAGAGGTTAGGTCCAAAGTTTCTAAAATCTCTGATACAAAAGGGGCTCCCTTTAGAGGAGCCTTGTGAAGGCACCACGGAGCTCACAGTCACGCGGGAGGGTTTCCGCTCTGACAAGAGTTAACGTGGTTTCTTTCCATTATGATCTCCAAATATTTTCTACGGATGTCCCTAGGTCAATGTATCACTTTTCGTCACGGCTGTGGGCAGGTAGGTGGCAAAACGACAGTGCCCAGCTCCCAGGGACCCTTTTGCGGAGGGCCCCATAAGGTCCCCCTTCCAGATCATGTGTCTGAGCAAGAGAAATGCCAAAAAGAGCCCAGCTTGGCCCTGCCATCTCGACAGCCCGGTCTGGGCGCCTGCTCACAGCTGAGGGCCCACCCACCGTCAGCCCAGTGACAGGCACCCCGGGGTGCCACCTGCTCTGGGCCTGCTCCTGCCATGGACACCAGGGATTTGCAAGGGATCCTTGCGGTCAGCAAGCACTTCCAAGCCCAGGGCACCTACATCTGGTCTCCGAAATCCCAAATCTTTCTCTGGGGAAGGATGTCTCATCCTTTTCAGATTTGTTGGTTCCCAACGTTTCCTAGAGGGGGTAAAACCCCCCTGCACAGGGAGTCAAAGGCTTCTGCTGGCTGCCCCTGGAAGGACAACCTGGGTCCCAGGGGCGAACAGGCCGATGAGCACAGCCCTAAAAGTTTAACGAAACATCATGGGTTCAGACGTCGCCGGTGATCTGTGACACCTGAGAAGAGACACAGTTTCACAAAAGGCTGCCTTGGCAGGCTGCCAGGTGGGTCCGGAGGAGGAGCAGCCACACTTTGGGGCTAGAACAGGAAGGTCGGGATGTCTGGGGAGGGCTTGGTCCTTCGCCGTGCAGAGCCGGGGGCAGAAACAGGGTGACTGGGGGCTTCTCGCCACCGGGACCTGCAGGGCGGCCCCAGGGCCTCCCCGCGCAGCGTGACTGCACCTACCTCCCTTCTGTGACTCAATCTCCTTCTTCGCTTGCTCCAGGATGTTTTTGATGGCGTCGTCAGAGCCGGTTTCTGGCGTTCTGATCCGCGGCGTGATGCTACCTGATCAAAGAGGCATGATAACGCATTTGTCACCGGCGCTGGTTTTACAAGCTCCACTTGCATGTCAGGAAGTATTTACCGCTGCTCGTGTTCAGTTATTTTTAGGGATGCTGTTTTTAAGAAAAATGTCAGTCCCGATTAGTCACCAGCCAGAGCGAAGGGAACCCAGGTAGCCCCACCAGCCGCTTTCGCTTCCTCGTCTCCAGCCCGACATGCCAGGGGAGAGACCGCCCTGCTCGCAGGGGGTTCCCGGCACTGTGCCGTATCCGTGCCCTCCCGGCTGTGCCCCGATGAAGGGTTAACGCCGGCACGAGGTCGCTGCGCTTTGCTGCTGGATTTGCAAAGTGGATGGATTTCTGGGGAGGAAAGCGGGCTCCCGTCCAGAGAGATGCCCAGGCGCGCTGCTCTGGCGCTGGCCGCGCAGGACAGGAAAGGAGGCAGGTTTGGGGCAGGCGGACGAGGACACGTGGTGTCATAGAGAGCAGCCCCTGCCCCGTGCCTCGGTTTCCCCTTCCCTCGCCTCGCAGCCTGCGCTGGGAGGCCTGCGTGGCCGGCGCCGGGAAGGCGCTGCGGGGCGTTATTATTTCACGGTAGCGCCGACAAAACACTGAGCTCCTGCAGTATTAAGACTTCATTATTTTAACAAAATATTCCAGAGCACATTGATTCACATGCGATGAAATGTGCTAATGAATAATTAAATGGCACTTGTCAGAATAAACGAGCAAAGCGCATTCGGGTTGCAGCTTCCAGGACAGTTTGTTTTTAATGGTTACAGTTTGCCAGGGCCTGATCCTGCCCGGCGGCTGACTCCGTCCTGGCAGCACCCTGGCAGGCTGAGGACGGCGATGAACAACCCCTGGGCATCTCCTCTGGATTGCTAGCGACTCAAAGCGGTTTCCCGGCCCGGGGTCTTGCCGGCACCGGGGCGCCGCGGCCACTCACCTCTCTGGCGCACCTGGATTGTCCTCAGAGCCAGCACGTTCTGCTCGTCCGCCAGGAACTGCTTCATCTTGATGAAGGGCTCCTTGCCCTTCACCGTCAGCTTGCGCCAGGGCTTGGGCCGGGCCAGGATCTCGCTGACGGAGCCCTGCGACAGCCCCAGCACGTAGTGGCCGAAGACCCGCTGCCCGATGTTGTGCTTCAGCAGCTGCTCCTTCACCTGGAAGGCGATCTCGGCCGTGTCGAGCTGCTCCTCGT